CCGGTACAAAAAAAAAAAAATTAATAATAATAATATTTCAAGCAGTAGAATTCATTTTCAAATGAGATCTAACTAAAGACATCAAAAACTCAGGTGATTCCTTTTTCTTCTTTGTGCCTTTTCACTTAAGATTTTTCACATTTTCTAGTATGAACGTGCATTGCTTTTATAATCAGGAGAAAATGTTTTTTAAATTACATGGCTGTTTAGGAAAACGGAATTGTTTCATGATAACAGGTTCAGGGACTAGTACAGATTGAAACAGATGGCTCCCTCTGTTGTAATCCCCCCTGGTGACCTTTTCACAACTAGGGATTACTAAAGCACAGAGTGACCATGGCTTTTTCACCATGAAATTATACGGTGACAGCAGAAACCTTACTGACAAACAGATGTTTTTCCCAAGTGGCACTTTTCTTAATGAAATGGTTGCTTAGAAACCAGACCATAATAATAATTTTTCTATATTTAGTCTATAGTGATTCAGTTTGCAAAGTTATTAAGTCAGAGCATACTAATTAGATAGAATTGAACATATCCATTATTTCCTGCCTTGTAGTTCAGCAACCAAATGGTTAAATAAGCAGCCACATTTCATGCAGCATGTGTCTGTCCAGATGCTGTTCCTGACAGGGGATTGACAAGGAAAATGACAGCTCCTAGAGCAACCCTGTTCCACTGTTAACTGGCTCTGTGGTGGCACAGTGGACTTGCTCTCCAGCCAGCATGTGTTAGGACTACTACATGTAACACTTATTAGATTGCCGAGAGGATCAGTTAAGTCAGTGGTCAAGTGTATGTGAAAAGTGAAAAGAAATTCAATTCAAACTAAGCTAACTGAGACAATAGATGTACGCAAGAGTGAAGATACTTGTTCAGAATGACAGATTTTATAAAAGGAAAATCTGATATGCTATTACTTTACAGCAAAAGAGTCTTGGCATGCACCATATATATTTAAAACCTTTACTCTTATGTTCGCTTCAGCAGCACATATACTAAAACCTTTAATCTTCAATTCAGACTATACAAAATCTAGAAGAAAATAGATTTCTGCCTTATATTTGCAGTAAAGATGAGACAGCTCAACTAAAAACAACTATCATACAGGTTAATGTATGTAAAATACCATAAAAGCAATAAATAGCAAATGAGAAAGCAGGGAATTACCAAACCAGCATCTTAAAGGAAAACCAGAACTCTAAGAAATAACTTGGCATAAGAACCCACAATTATCCTGAGGTGTGTGCTTGACCTTAAATTGCAGGTTCAAGGCCTTGAAAGACAAGTTGCAGAAATGAAAGCCCAGGCCCAATTGGAAGTGGGAGTCAAATAGAAAACCCTCCAACACTTAAGACATCACCACCATGTTTTAAAGTTTTTCATTATCATAAACAGAAACGCTATAACAAGCAGTAACTTCCCATTTCCTCCCTCTTCTATATTATTTAAATCTAGTAATAAGTATATAGTCACATAATAACATAAGAAACAAGGTCCTAGTGGACTTCAGATATTAAAATTGTCACACACAAATTATAAAATATATATATGCTTATTACTGTGTTGAAAGAAATACAAATAAACTTGAAAATGTCTTTAGGGAATAAGAAGCAACAAAAAATGTGTAACAAAATTGGAAAAACCAAATGGGATATAAAATGTAGAATAACTAAAACAAACTCAGTATGTGGAACAAGGAAGGGTGAGAGGGAACAGAAAAGGGAAAAAAGAATAGAAAAAAATGGAAACAAAGCTTTTGTAAATAGGAAGGGAAAAGGGTTGAAGGGAGGGGATGATTAATGTGATCAATATGTATGACAAATATGTAGTAATAAAAATATATAAAGTTGGGCCGGGGATTTGGTTCAGTGGTTCTGCTGCCTGCCTTGCAAGCACAAGGACCCGAGTTCGATCCCCAGTACCAAAAAAGCTATACACACGCACACACACATACACACATACATACATATATATATATATGCTATATATTTTTTTTTAAGTGTATGACTTGGGCAGCAGAAATGGCTGAAGAGAGAATTAACCAAAAAGAAAATATTTGGAGAATGCAGCACAGAGAGACAATCTTTATTCTTTAGGTGGCAAAAACAAGGAAAAATTCATAGTTTGGATCCTCTAAAAATTTTAAGCTCCTTTCAGTAGAAAACAAAAAACATAACCTTCTGGATGTGCATAATTACTCATATCTGTAATCCCAGCCACTCTGGAGGCTGAGGCAGGAGCATCAAAAGTTTCAAGCTAGCCTAAGCAATTTAGCCAGATTTTGTCTTAGAAAATAAGAGCCAGGAGTGGTGGTTCGCACCTATACCCCCAGCATTCTTGGAGGCTGGGACAGGAAGATTACAAGTTCAAGCCTGGCCTGGGCAATTTAGCAAGACTCTGTCTTTAAAAAAAAAAAAGCAGTGTGGCCAGGGATTTAGCTCAGTGGCACCATGCATGCCTTGCAAGTGCAAGGTACTGAGTTTGATTCCCCTATATTGAAAAATAAATAAATAAATAGATAATAAAAATATAAAAATAGTGCAGGGAGGGGGACAAGAGGGCAGTATGAAGGTCCTAAGTTCAATCCCCAGTACCAAAATAAAGAAAATAGAAACAATTTAAAAATTAAAAGGGCTGACAGGTCATGGATATAGCTCAGTGGTACCATGCCTTCCTGGCAAGCACAAGGTCCTGAGTTCAATCTTGGGTACCAAAAAAAGGGGGGCGGGGCTGGAGATGTAACTCAGTGGCAGAATTGTCCCTGTGTTCGATCCCCAGTACTGCCTCCCTCCAAAAGAATTGTTCCTAGGTTCATCCTCAGTACCACACACTCACAAAACAAAACTTTAACACAATTAAAATGGAAAGTATGATTTTCCAAAGATGTGTACAAAAAGGACACGCATAAATTTATTGAAAAAGAAAATAGATTTGTGGTTGCCTAGGGCTAGGGGTTCTGGTGAAAAAAGGAAAATGACTCATGTCACTAAAAAGAAAGTGATTCAGGTGGGAGTTTCTTTTTGGAGTGATGAAAATGTTCTGGAATTAAATAGTGCTGATGGTTGCACATCTTTATGAATATCCTAAAAGCCACTGAATTATACACATTAAAATGGTAAATGTTATGGTATGTGAGTTATATCTGAATAGTCCTGTTTCTTTTTTTACAGGATGAGCAAACACTTAATTCCTTTACTATATAAAAAAACTCCCAAAGATTTTAAGAAAAATATTCAGTAGATCAATGCGTAAAAACTATAAATAGGTATTATTAAAATGGGAATTTCTAGTATTGGCTAAATATATTGAAACGGTAACACCTGCACACTATTGCTAAGAAAATTAATTAAAATATTTTTGGAAAACAGCTTTGAAAATGTTTATATCCTTGGTAACAGTTATTTCTGGAGAATCCACCTTACAGTATAAATGGGGAGGTAAGTGTCTGTAGTAGTTCTAAGACAGCTGATTAAATCTTTCCACATTGAGTAGTTATACAAACGGTCCCCTGGGCAGCTCTCAGTTGAAGAATATTAGTGCTTTTGGCAGTTGAGCTCATTTGTCCATCTTTAGGAAGCCTCACCCTTGTTCTACAACCTTTTTTATTCCCCTCTATCTATACCATCATT